ACTGCCAGCTGTAACCACAACAAACGCTCGTACGTACAGTCCTTAACGGCCGTACCTACATCTTGCGGGGTCTCAATTCAAGTTTTTCATAGGCCTACAAACATCGAAATTCATCACCAATCAGGTATAAAAGGGTGCAAAATATATTATTAAATTGGTCTTGTACTGGTCTCGGCCGAAAATTCCGAGAACAGGAGGTGCGAGATCAAGACCAAGACCAATGATTCCACACCAACACCAGCGTGTTCGAGACCAAGACCACATTCAAACTGGTCTTGAGACTGGTCTTAAGACCAACACCAGTCTCGACGACTACAACGCTGACAGTGGCTTAGGTTGGACCCGAGAGACATCTCTTTGAGTACTTCTGAAGTTTTATACTTCAGTTAGGTTTTTATTTTTTCTTAAAGGGTTTTTTGGCTGAACACTTCAAGTAGTACAGAAAATCCTGTAAACACTACTTCAATTTTACAATGCAAAATATTAGAGTCACAAAGCAAACTGCAGAAGTTTCGATGAAATGCCGAGTCAACTTTTTTAGTACTTACTGGCAAGTTTTCCTGTCTTCTGTATTCGGCATACACGTCTATGTTTGGGCCTGGAAACAAAAAAGACAGCATGAGGGAAAAAATTGAAGACATCAAGGTGCACGCTTGGACCCATCAATCCCATTAAAATCTGTGCTGTGGTTTGGCTGATTTTGGAGGATAGAGTCTGCATATGATGCAGTGAAATGTTGGTTAGTTTTAGAGGATGGAGACCACATCATCTCACATTGTCTGGGCTACTTTTAAAGGACTGAAGCTGAATTACCAATAAATTAAAGGTGCATTCAGAGGAACTGAGATTACAAGTTTGCACTGAAGCTGGTTTTGAAGACAGAAGTAAAGTGGAAAATTCTGTGGCTGGAATGGAATTGTTGAGGAATTTAATCTGCAAGAGACATGTTTTAGTCAGATACATGCGCACGTTTCTTTAAAAAGAAGGCAAACTCACAAATTAATGGGCACTGCAGACTCACATTTGCTCTGAAAGCTATTATGAATTACACACCCTGTTCCCATTTGATGCCAAGGAAAATCTCCAAAAAGCCAGAATAATTCCACCGAGAATTTAGCAAAACTTGAATGCATTTCATCTCTTATGTTCCGCGGTTTGAATTTCAATTCGTGTTTGCACTCGGCACCAACAAAGCTTTACTTTTGGCAGCTTGAAACTGAGAAAAGAGATGTTATTTGCTCTAAAAATCAGTAAAGCAACGAGTAGCCAGGTCAAGCGATGGGTGACACGGGACAACACATCAATACATTGGCAAATATTCAACAAACCGCGGCAACACGTGTCGGCGATTTACACAAAGTTGTTGGGGCCAAGGCAGGGGGAACGGTAATAGGATGCATTTCACATGAATTTCTTTGCACAACTCGTTTATTTCAATTCTTCAAGCAATAACTACTGATGGGACAAATACACAGTGAATACATATTATCACAGTATTACAGTGACAGGGCATTCCAGGCTTGTGCAACTGGACTTTGGAATACACTGCCACTGTCGATACGTGCTTCAGCATCATAGGATATTTTTAAATCCTCTCTTAAAACATTTTTATTTAATATAAGATAAGTTATAAATGAAATAAGTTTTATGTTGATTTTTAAATAGTCATGGTTTTATTTCATAGATCTCTGTAGTTTGTAATGTGTAATGATTATTAATTAGGGCCTACTGGGTGTTATAATAATAATAAAACAAAGTAACAGAAGTTATCAAACAAAATTTAAAAATTAAGCAATAAAAAATAAACATTATAGTTTGTAGTGTATATTGTTGTACAGGGCTCTGAGGTCATTTTATGGAGGGCGCTTTATAAAATTTTATTATTATACGATTGCAACCAAACATTAGTTTGCACACTTTACAAATCAAAATCTGATGCAGGAAATGCAATGTATTTGCATCACATCCACAACACAGAGAACGCGGTAGCCCAGATTTGTCATTTTTTTATGACAAGCTTGGGTCAAGCGATAAAAGTTGAAACAATTCTTACATCCATGGAAGTATCATGTGCATGTTATGGAGAGCAAAAGTCGCTCCAACGTCCATCAGGACGAATCAAACTGCAAGTCTAACATCTTATCATTGAGACAGCAACCATTGAAGCCAAATGAGTGCTCGCAGGCGACAAGAAATGAAGGAACTTGCAATTTCTGGAATCAAAACAGCCCACTGCTTCACAATCCGATTGTAATCACGCAATTAAGAGCCTGGACTATTTATTTTGACAGGTTTCCAGAAGAGGAGCATCAAGCATCTTTATAAAAGTGCGAGGGTTGCAAACAGCAATGGCCTTAGTGTAGTTACATGTACGTAATCACTTTGATATTGAATACACTTGGTAACCATGTACATGTACACTAGCGAAAAATACATTCGACAGCAAGGAGGCCTCTTACACTGTGCTGCAGGGAATTTCAGGGACCAATTTGGTTGCTTTTTAATGTTATATTTCATTACTACTGTGGTCTACGGACCCTACGCCTCGTGGCCGTATACTTCCATTCCATCAGCTACGTACATGTAGGCATGAGCAGACCTGTTGTGAATTCTGTGTTAGGAAACAGATATCCACACGAGGCAGTCAGCCTAACAATTTGTTGTCCACGCTTCATTTGCACACACAGCCTGTCAACGATGACTGATCCTGTTCGGGGGTTTGAGTTAGACTGTGGTAGCTTGAGATTAGTTTAGGAAGAATTGGGCTCGAAAAGCCACAGATCGGCTGAATATTTTTTTAAGTTATGCACGAACACACACACACCCAAGTGTGTAAACGCCTTCAATCGTGGACTCCCTATTGTTCCTCTTTTGTTCACGTTTTCCAACCGTGGACTCTTCGGCAACCGTGGACCCTATTGTCCCGTATTGTTATAGGTCCGCGATTGAAGGCATTTACACACTCATGCATACATGTACATGTAGACCAAAGAGTTTCAACATACCTGCTATTCCTAGTACAACCGAGGCTGTGAATGCCGTAAAGAACGCGACGAACACCAGCACAAAGTGCCGCTTTGTCAAGGTGTAGAGACGCATTTGAACTGATCTGCATTGGGGGAAACAAATCAAAAGAAACAAGACCAAATCATTCGTGGAGAAACTGCAAGGAACTGGCGACAGTCCGTCAGCATCTGAGCCTCGGAGCATCCTGTATTCATGAAAATCCAACACTGCGCTGAAAGTCCATCAAGGCTATCAAAGCCAATCCACTGTTGCACTTTGGTGGATTTGGCAGGTTATCGAGGTGACCCGTTAAATCCCCTATCCTTCAAAATCCGTCAGTTAGATTTGGAAGGTATCGCAAGACTGAACAAGATACCGGTAAGAGCACTGCCAAGACAATGAGAAGCAAAACTCCTAGAAAGCTGAAATAGAACTTCCATTCCAACACCATGCATGTAGCTACATGATGGTGACCCTCCGATTTCAATGCCATTTTTCACCCACCATTGATAGAGTTACATATGTACACGTACTGTATTAAATGATGCACTTATTTTAATAAGTCCAGGATGAAAAATACAGGCATGCAAAATGCTACTGCACCTCATAGACCCTGTAGAGATTTTGCGCATTAACAACATGTGTTTCACAGCCCAGAAAAAAAAATTGAGTTTGAAGAATCCACAGGCAGAGAAGATAGCTTTTGGAAGACTAGCTCGGCTCACTTTAGCGTGTACAGGAAGTAGGCCCAGTAGATCTCCTTGCTGCGAGTCAAGTAACGATGCTTCAGCCTTTTCAAGTTCACCTGCATCATATCACCGCACACCCAACAACGCCTAATCCACTGCGCTTTGGCACATCTCCATGGCTCTACAGCTTGGCCTGACTGGATATCCAGAGCAAGTATGGGGAATGCTAGACAGTGTACGCGTCAACACGCACAGGGTGTCTGCTCGTCGTCCGGTTAATTTTCTTTTTAAAAGCATCACCACCTGTGGCCGATATGGGTCACATCGCGTCCTCCTGATGCATTCCAGCAAAATGCAAATTTCATTCCGGCCCATTTTTCGTTCACCCTTTCTTTTTTTTTTTGTTTACTTTAGCATCTGAAGAGATGTGCCTTGGAAATCAGATATGCATGCAGTAAAAGAGTTGTGATTTTTTTTTTTCAATCTGCACCTCCGTGTTCAATACCTACTGCAGATGGCACAGACTGTTTAAACAAACCCTCACTGCAAACGATGCAGCTGTGCAGCTAGTTAAACATCCTATTAGATATTAATTACTCTAAGGCACTCTAAACCACATCCAGCGCATTATCTGGAATTCAGTCAGAACCATGACTGAATTGGAATCTACATGAACATGACTGTGTACATAATACCTCCACGTTCAGTACAATTTAAATGCCAAGTACGTACATAGATGGAGTTTTTGTCTATTTTGGGGTGTTTTTTTTTCTTTGTAATGGAGAAAAGGGCATTTATTTTGTCCTTTGGCTTTTTACAAGGTGGATTTTTCCAAGATGGCAACTGAACCTCTTGACTCTTTTGACTGATACATTTGTGTCCAAACGCTAAAGTAAAGGAGCTTTACATCACGTAACAGGTTTTAAACTTTAATTTATAACTACACACATACATGAAACCAGGAACAAAAGTGAAAATGTTGCAAATTTCACAAAGAGGGAACACCAGAAACAAAAGATGATGACCAGGAAAAAGGAAGAAGGCAGGGACATGGAACTACTTCACTTCTTTCATTTGGCCAAAAGACCTGTAAACAGGCCTTCCCCTTATCAGGACACCGTGTCCACTCCAACAGAATCCCACAGCTTCATCTACAATGAATGAATGGCTGAGAATCTTGCAATAACCCACAGGACAGGTCTCCATTCTTGCTCTGGTCGGTAACATCCCAAAGAATTTGATTTTTCTTGAATACTGCAAAATTTTGTGTCATTACGGTGTAAAATGAATGTGGTGTTTTTCCCTTATCAATATTTATCTACTTTTAAGTTTAAGCACTGCTACAGTGTGCTTGGCGTTTTCCAAAGGATTAATATCTCTGCAGTGTTCTTCAACCTACAGAAGTGGTCTGTCGGCCTGCTAGGTACTGCTTGTCTCACACCAGATTTAAAAAGCAGCCACGATGTCTTAAAGCTAAATTGCAAGACATTGCTTTCTTGTGATCTGTGGCTCTGAAAAGTGAGAATTTCAAAATCGCACTAGGTTAAGGCTGTGCAGAATATTTGAATGTTACTTCCGAATTTGAATATTCAAATGCAAAATCCATGAAAAGGGAGAATTTTCCTTTGTTTTAAATGAGAGCAACTGCACTATAGAGGCTTGTTCCAAGCAGGTTCAAATGTCAAGTGGCAGATACCTTACATGTACAATGATTCAAAAAGTACATTTAGAAAAATTGGAAAGGAATGCACATTTTCAACAGGAAAAGAAGTATTATTCGTCTCTTAAATCTTATTAAATCATGGCTGGAGATACTCATAGACATGAGAAGCTATTATAGTGATTATAATAGACAATTGTGTGCATTATTGCAACTGATTTCAATAATTATGGTTTGTTCCTCAACAATCTGCCAGTCGGTATGACCGAATATTCGGATATTCGATCAAATTGAAGGTCGAATATTGGAATAGTGAATTATTTTAATTGACTCAGCCCTACACTAGGTTTGAATTCCTTCTCGTGAGCACACGTTTACATTACAACGACAATGTAAGTGTCAAACCATTCAATCATGTCAACCAGACAAGATTTGTCACGGTAAAATGTCTAAGTCCCCACAAACACTCACTGCATGTTCAGTTGCCGTACTGGCAGAAAAATAAAAAAAGAATCCATACAGGTTCATGGTCAAATACCCAGTGCCAAACAAAAAATAGAAAAAAAGAACAAAAGATGTTTTAGGCCTACCATTTTTGTTTTCAACAAAAAAACTTAGGCCTAGACAATAAACAAAACTGGTCAAGTAAGTTACTGTTTTTCCTTAGAAAAACGTAAATTAAAAAAAAGAAACAAGTGTTTACCATTTTTACGTAAAAACTTAGATATTATGAAACGCAGGTTTGGGTCGTTATTCTTTAGTTAGATCAAACACCTGTGATAGTGATCAACATTGCAACAAAAGACTAAGTAAGACTAGGCCTGAGTCTGCATCAACATGATCAAAGCAATCAAAATTTGGCGAGAATATCCTGCCTCCAACTTTTCAGGACATTATCTCTGTGACAATTATTCACTTCAAGTATATACATGTTCATAAACACCTTCGAACTGAATGAGGAATGGACAAATAACATGAACAATTGGGAGTTCAATAAACGCAACCTACTGCACATCTCTCGTGTCCGGAAAGTGGGCAGACGTGTACCGAAACTACAATATACAAGCAGCAACGCCTTGGAACACTTACGGCTCTATTTCTTTCCCCATAACGCTGTTATCCTGGCCTGGAGTTGTGCAAATATAACTGAGTGAGTTTCACGTCGACATGTTTGTGAACAAGACTTAGATGAAGGAAACTAATAAAATATTTGGTAAATTAACCTGTAGCATTTCCACGAACGTGTACATAAATATGAACTGGTAATCTGCACTGAGATGTCCCGTCTGAATTCTCGTGTAACAGACTAGTGAACCAGCTAAATACTAGACTCTCTTCGAGAGTTCAGCTCAGATAGCGTACAAGAACATGTACATTGTACGTGTACACTGTACTGTACATGCACTGGAGACTAACATTGTCCAAACTGCCCCTCCCACTTTTTGTGGAATGTGAACGATGCGGGTCTAATCGACTTTGAATTATTTAAGACAAGTTCCCACGAGAAAAGTTGAACCAAAGAAGAGCAAAAACTGTAATTTAACTATAAACTGTGTGACATTGCCTAAGCTTCTTCTATTTTTAAACTTGTTATAAGACAAAAATACTAAAATAAGCACTTGAAAACCCTGACAGAGTTCACAGGTGGCCATTCATTTTAATCTTACATACAGTACATGTACATAATCTTTGCCGTCTCTCGTGACCTAAAAGTAGGTTGTTGAACAAATCACTTGTTAAGTTCTTCTTTCTCAATCAGCAACGGCAACCAGGGGCTTAATCAGACATTTTTCCGGGGGGGGGTCAGGCCACAGATTTTTTAAATGTCGGTTTTTTGCGGTCAAGAGAAATGATAATGAAACATTATACATGTACATGCCATATATCGTTTACAGTGGTATTGGTGCAGTTACTTTACTTATTTTTTATATTTTCCCTTTTTTTGTCTCAGAGAGTTCGACTCCCAACCCCCCCCCCCCGATCCACGCCTGGCAACAGCAGCATCTACGATAATCACCACATTCGACATTTCTTAAGTCTTCACAGTCACCGATTTTGTCACTTCATATTGTTTTGGTTGCCCTACATCACTCGAGAAGACCACCCACCATTATCACTGTCACAAGTGTCACCAGTTTACCTTCACCACCATGCACATCAAAATGGCAATAACCGCCGTCCCCACATCCCCAAATTGCAGCTAGTTCGCAAATTCTTCCCCAAATCGGTGCTGTCTTTCCAGCCCCCTTGGCTGAACCGGCATGGCACACCGTGCATCGCGCGCTTGAGGTAGGGGGACGGTGCGTGGTGCTGTCTATGTATACTGCTCGTCATAGTGGCCCACGTGCATGTACATGTACATTTACAGTACATGCATTATGCCGACTTGCACGTTGGATTATGCACATGTATTACGCATACTGTACACGCGTACCGTACCGGCCCAAATGATGCAGTCATCGCTAAATTACATGCGGTGGAATATTGTGCATAGGCATACACTTAATATTTGCATTGCTAATGAAATCCGTGTAAAGAGGATTTTCATTTGTTCTGGTTGTTTGTTCCTAACATGAGCTTATATTAGATATTTGTAATCGGCATTCGTGGTACTGCATTGGACGTCAGAGATTATCTTTATCTTAAATGATTTACAACACCCAATGGGAAGGTAATTTCAATCTTATCTCTGTCATTTCTGACAAAAAGACATATTTCTTTCTACTTCTTCTTCATTTTTCTTAATCTCAAAAAATATTCTGTATAGAAAAATTCTCTCTGACGAAATATGCTATTATTACCTTATTTTACATCTCAGATATTCACCACCTCATCACCTGCATGCACGCCACATTTCTCATTTAGCTGAAGAAAATCATCAGAACAAAAGAAATCATGCCTTATTTACTTTAAACCGATAAAATGCATTTTGCCGCAGCGCAAAACACCCTTCTTTTCAGCCCCCCCTCTCTTTTTTCGGGTTATTTATAATTATTTCAGTCAATGATGCGTGTGCGTCATAGTGACGTTTCATTAAAGACGCTGCGTTCATTTACCTGTTTGATCGGTCGTGGTAGTACTTTGGCACTATGTAATCTTGTACGGCGTCGTAAAGTCGCACAACGTAGCCCCATCCTTCCTTCGCCCGAGTCTTCCACTCCGGCATCTGGAACGAGTAGTTCAGGGCATCCATCTTGAACCTCCAAAAAAGGATTAGAAAATCAGGCAAAGACGGAGAAGAAAAAAGCAGGGGCTTAACGAAGCGGTCCTTTCCGCATCGTGGACATGTGGCGTCGAAGGAAGAGACAGCGGCTGGGAGAACGAGAAAATGATGATGAATACCGGCGATGGTCACTCGGTGATGCGCGGGATGACGTCAAACGGAGTTATCCGTTATTTCATTCCGGTCCAATTTGACATTCGCGCGAGATCACTGCCGTGTGTGGGGAAAAATAATCAAGTAGGCAGTGTACCCGTTTACTCTGCGCAAAGCTGTCAACAAGGCGCACAGCGCATTAGGATATGAGCTTTGTGGTCAAATCGATATCAACGAAGCCAAGAAATTAATTATTCATGGGGGCTCTCCCCGACGTAAATTGAACAAACTGAGACTCATATAGAACACAGTATGAATAAGAAATCATCTGTATCAGCTATGAGTCAGTGCGCGCTCGAACAACATTTTACCAGATGAGAGCAATTTTTAATGAGTTTGAGTCGTTCGTTTGGGTCCAGCCGGAGCGGTTGCCCGGGAGCAATTAGATCGGATGTGTTGCCTAGCAACTGTCTTCACGTCAGCTCCTTTGGAGATCCCTCCCGAGCCGTTGGAAATGTCACGCCGGTTCAGACGAGACGACGACAGACACAGGGCCGGTTAATTCATCGGAGTTAATCTGATTTTTTGCTCCTCTGGGGTTGAACACGCACGGCGTTGGGTAGAAATTTGCGAGTTCACGTTGCCTGTACTACAGACTGAGCCGTCACCGGAGCAAGGATTTCGAACCAACCGACAGAAGAGTGGCACCCAATTTTCATCAAACTAATTTCAGGCAAAATGCTTCCATTAATGACGACAAACTTTGTCAAAATTAATATCCAGTCAAGTCACCCATGAGCTTCTTTAAACTCTTTGTGTTTACTTTTTTCGCCTTTCTTTTACGCTTCAGAACAATTACAGCGGTGAAAGCGTTTGGAAAAGTGTCCGCTGACAAGCCTGTTTAAGAAAAGCATCCGGTGGTCCTGACAACTGTTTAACTGCCTTACTAAATGCAATAGCAGACACGAACCCTCAAAGATGTAGTCCTGGTTTTATCGGTGGAAGACCAAGCTCTATCCAGAGATTTCCATCCGTGGGAAAATCAAATCGCACAAGTGGATGATATTTTATTATGTGGTGTCAAACGCAGAGGGGCAAGCATTATCACACAGACATCGGCACAACGTGCATTGTTCAACATGGGTAGTTGCTGCACTCTCAGCAGACGCCCGCCGATGTTGAAGCCCTCTCGTGGGCAGTGTGCGTCCAACGTCCTTCGTCGAAGTCATGCAGAGACGATACGAAGGCAGTCCTGAAGTCTTCTCCCCAAATTTTCTCGAAACTGCAAAAAACACCTTCCCGAGCTGCGTCTTGCATGTAGCAATCAGACTGAGCAATGAACAGATGAATGTGGATCCCTTATTCTTATAAGTCTGGGTCAACAAATAAGTCTTTCACGGACGATAAATTTAATTTCGGTATTAAAATCCCAAATGCGTAGCGTACAAAATAACATGGAGGAAGTAAGAAATCACCGATGAATGCCTAGCTACCTGAAAATCTATTCTTTGGGGGGAAAGTGCACATTCATAATATACAGGTACATTTTGCCAAGAGGAGATCACCTATACAGGATATCTGCACCTCTGCGCAGACCGTTCGGCCTCTTTTACATTTATGCATGGTGCTGGTATACGTTCGTGATTTTTTCAGCAGGTCAGTAACCTGAAGCGCTCTTCGTGTGAAGTTTTGACTAAAAAAAAAAAGAAAGAAAGGGTGTGTCGGAGGCTTGAACAACCCCCCGACTTCTAATTCCCTGTAGTCATGCATTGTTTGAATAACACAACTACAAAACACTGAGAAGTCTTGGATTTGCCAATTTTGGACCTTTTTTATTTTTATGCTCCAGACTTCCGGATGTGATGTTCTTCTTTTGCTTTAACTTTCCCTGGGGAGGATGCCTTCCCCCCCTCTGGTGATTTCCTTTTGGGCTCCCAAGTTATTCCCTACTGAACCATATGTGATAATCTTGGGCACGCCCATGAAAAAAATAAGAACTAATTGTGGCGTCCTCATGTACATACTTAGATGTACATGGACTGTTCTGTGCTATGTGGCTTTTGAGGGGGCGGAGTTTCGAAGGCACACAGGTAGGGACAAGATCGAGTTTGGACCATCGATTGACAAGCTGCTGTGAACACTTATTTTACGTCTGTGTACTGCAGGTGCATCGAACCTCGACGAATATTTAGAAAATGGGACCATGCAGATAGTGAAATGACGGGTCCCAAATCAGGGCACAGAATCGTTTAAAGGCGCCCAAATCTGGCCCGTATAGCTTCTAATACATGGATTGAGCAAAAAGACACTGTAGAGTGAACTTGGTTGCAACATGGAAGCAAGTCCGTAGCATGTAGTCTCATTTGGGGTTCCCAGTTTTCTTCTTTGTGACTGGTTGTTGCAGATACACGCAGTGGTGTAACTACGTGGGGGGGGGCACGTGACCCCGGATGCCCCTCTCCCCCTTTGAAATCCATGAACCTCCTCTGCTGCAGCTCATTATCTTTTGGTGCACCCTTGAAAAAATGTGTGCACCCCGGGTGCCCCCCGGACATAATAACCCTACTCAAGACACTGGATACCGGTAGGCCTACACGTAACTTTATTTCTTTCCAGTGGAAGAACGGTTCCAAAACATTCCATTGCCCCTGTAATTGCTTGATTGTAGTGTCATTTTAGAGTCTTCCTTACAATGATGGGTTGAAAAAAAGCATGCAATGATATTGTTGGAATAAAAAATTGATTTTGCTGGAGCTCAACAGTCACCCCCCTCCCCATATGCTACTAAGTATCTAGTGGTTTAAGTAACGCGTAAAAGGTAACTTTTTAGAAGTTGGGGGACAGCGCCCTCTGTTGCTCGTCGATCAATATTTCATCATGCCGATCATAAAAGCAATTGGAGGTAAAAAAAAGAAGCTGGTGGTTTGAAAGTAACTGTGTCGCGATCATTGTTTCTCGTTGATATTTTATCTGGTTTGAAAGTAGCTGCGGTAGCGTATCATCGGTCTCTGGGTCAAAGTAGTAGATTTTATGCTGTTGACTGTTCAAATTCACGGTGTTCTTGCATGAGAAGTTTCAGTTGCGGCAAACCAAAAGATTTACTTTGTTTTAATTTACTTCTTTGCTGATTTAAGTTTATAATTACATGTTATTCCAAATTAGTTCCTTTATTGTTCTTTGCTCGTATTTTTGGTGTCCCGGTTCCCGTCTTTTGATTTTTCTTCTGCCGTGCATTCTCCGCACGTAACAACATTAAGTTCTTTAAGGGCCACTATTTACTGGCAGCCAACCCGGTCCAGGTTTATCCTAGGCAGTGTCAAATCCTTTCCATTCGCACTCATTCCGGCGGCGGGTCGTTTGCTTCCCGGGAGTGGGGCGCTCTTGAGAGCCGGGGCCCCCTTCAGGGCCAGCAGCGGTCTGCTGTTGGGCGCGGTATGCGACCGGGCCCTCGCCGAGGAGCGAGGCGGGACTGCCTCGCGCAGGATGCTGCCGCTGTTGCTGCGCGGAGTGCCTGGATAGTGACGGAGTTGTCTGGTCGTCGAGTAGTAAAGACCGAGTCGGTGAGCCGGGAAAGCACCTGTGAATAATTGAAAGGGAAATTTCTTAAAGTCGCCGTTTCTTTAGGTTTTTAATTATTATTATTACCTTGCATATGGCATCGATCAACATATCTCAAAGGTGATTGATTGATCATGCAAAAAAATTAAAGGTTACTGGAACGAGTAACGGCCTGGTACCCAACTTGGCTGTCTGCTAACGATAGGTAACTTGGGTTCCATCTCTGTTCAAGTCAACAGGATAAAGTAAATGACTTTATCCGTACATACACTTCGATATGGGAAATGTAGTTTAAGAAGGGATTTTAAAAAAGGGGAGGGGGTTCCTCCGATTGAAACTAACCATGGTTTTGATATGGCAGAACCCCCTCTCGATTTCTTGTAAGTGGAACAAAATTCCTCCTCTCTGCATCCCGTGAGATGAGGTAAGTCCCTGGGTCCGTTTGCGATCGGCGTAAGCCAGGTCCTCTTCTGGAGGAGAAAGACCCGGTGCGTCGCCCTAGAACGGGCGTGGGACTGTCCTCAGGGGTCTCTGAGGTCCAAGCCGACCGTTGGTGCTGGAGAACATCCGCGTAGAGGTTTCCCTTGGCCAGTTTCCCGTTGACGATGATCATGCAGCCGTGCTCGACTGCGGCTCTACCGGGACTTGGAGCCGTCCATCCCGCTGCCGATCGATGTGGGTCCACTGGTGGTCCTTTCTCTCCCGCACTTCTGCACGTTTGGCGCTCATCCGTCCCCGCGCGGTCGTTTTCCTTGTCGGCTTTGTGCGTCGTTTCCTTCACAGATTTGGGGTTCTTCTTCGGAGGATGCGAATTTTCGTCAAGAGACGTGACGATGATCAAGGTATTTTTGTCTTTGAGGTTGATTTCGTTATTATTCGGATCGGGTTTGAAAGAGGGAGCCAGTTTCTGTCGCATATCATCCAAGATGACTTCCCGTGTCGGTGATGTGTTTTCTTCCAGCGCATCGGCCTTCTGTTTCCGTGTATCAATCAAAAGTGGACCAGAATGTTTCTTGTTGGGTGTGGGTGCACTTTTTAGTCTGTCTTCCTGCTGCACAGCCTGCCTGTTTTGAACCAGTTGCGATTTGGCTCTATCGAGCTCCAATTTCGTGCTGCCGTTCGTTCGCCAACCGGCGCTACTTCCGGGTCGGGAGCTCTTGCCTGCAGGTGTCGGGGTGAACATCACCGAATCTGACTCGAGGTCAATGACGTCGTCGCCGTCGCTTCCCCCGCTGTCGTTCGCGGCTGGCGCAGCCCCCTCGGGATGGCCCCACCCTTTGGCGAGGCGGTTACGCAGGAGGTGGTACCCGGCTGTCTCAGCAATTGGTTTGTTCTGGGTCACCGCCTCCCTGACAGCAGCCTCGCTGAAGCCGCTGGCTACCAGCGATGAGATGATGTTGCCATCCAGCTGCTGGTCAGTGAGTCGGTTGGGGAACTGCGTGGGGTGGAGTCTGTGCGTGTAGCCCCTATTTATCCATGGGTGGTGCATGACGTCACGAAGCGATATCCTCTCAGTCTCATTCGCAGTGAGTAGTTTTCCCAAAAGGTCTCTGCAATCTGAAACGAAAAGAAACGGAGGAGAATGACTACCAGATGCCTCTAAAACACATGTTGACACAAACAATCGATGGCATATTCCCAGCACCTAAAAACTGTTTTGTTTTGTTTTTTGCACTGGCTTACCACGGGTCAGATTCTGTGGTATCGTGCATCCCTGGATGATTTTAGCGTGCAGCTTCGTCATGTTGGTGGGCGGGTCCACGATAAATGGTAGTTCGCCCGTCAACATCGCGTACATGTTGACGCCTCTGCAGGAAGAGAACATGGGCGGGTGTGAAGTGTGGTCTGAACACCAAAGGTGTTTCGAAAACAAACAAGGGAACCTTGTCATTTGGTTACTGTCATACCAAGTGACTTTCTACGAACGATTTCTTCAAGTATTCATAGCTGTTTAACTGTCAGTAGTAGTAGTCAAACTGTGACTGACCTTCAATACAAAGTAAAATAATTACATTGTATTCACGTGATGTTTCAGAATCCTAATAATTATCAAAGCAATTTAGCTACCATAGTAAATAACAATTGAAAATACTTCTCTCTTATTTTGTATTTTGAGGTAAATCCTGTTACCAAGGAAGGGTGATCTTTCTGCAAACTTTGGGTGCCCGTAAAATAGTTATTGGTAAGAAAAGATCATTGATCTGTACTCACATGCTCCAGACGTCGACAGCGGGACTGTAGCTAGCGTTGCAGAAGATTTCGGGCGCAGCGTAGGCCGGGGACCCGCACTGGGTTTTCAAGAGGCCGTCTGGTCCAAGGATGTTGCTCAGTCCGAAATCTGGTCAATGAATATTGAAGGTTTCGGGAATCATGATCGAGCAGGTATTCAAATTCGAATAGAATGGCTAGATTAACCGAAAAAGAGAGCAGCCCTTTGGGCACACACAGGAAATGTGTCGACTGTCAAATTATGCACTCACCGATCACTTTCAAGTTTGAATCTTCATCCAGAAGGAAATTTTCGATTTTGATATCTCTGCAAAAGAACAGATAAGAACTTAAAAACTGGAATGCTACACGGTAATTGTGGCCAATGCCACTATGGCCTTAGACGGCCCAACAAGGCGCAAAAGCAGGACACTTCCAACAATTGTCACTTGATCCTGTAATACAGGCAATTCACAATAGCGCGTCTAAGAGTTTGAAACGAGTTGGCCAATCGCGAGAAATTTGTCGAACTTTTCCAAACGCGCACTGGGTCGAAAGATTTTGCGCATTGTGATTGCCCACGAGTTGCAAACTCTTGGAGGCGCACTATTGTGAAACGCCCGTATTGGCGCTAAATGCACTGTTGGATGAACTATATTCTTCATGATATACAAAGTAACCAATAGAGGCTTTGCGTATAGTATCATTCTTGAAGGGGAACTTCTTTTGTTCCATCGGGAAACCTCCTAGGTGCATACTCTTTCGAACAAAAGACCTGCCCTCTAAGATGGATACCACCCAAAGCATTAAAACACCTCAGGCTCCTGATTCAATTGGGGCCACACCCCTTTAATACCCCCTTTGGTAACCCACCTGTGTACCACCTCGGCTTGATGCATGTAGTCCACGGCTGACACCAGCTGCCGCATGAACTTCCTCGTCTCCCGCTCGCTCAGCTTCTTGCGGTCGCAGAGGTAGCGCATGAAGGGCCCGCCCTGGGCGAACTCCGTGACCAGGTAGTAGTTGTTGGCCGTCTCCAGGACCTCGTACAGGCGGATGATGTTCGGGTGGCTCGTCAGCCGCTGGAGAACCACCGCCTCGCGCCGGAGGTTCTTACGGACGTACTCCCGCTTGGCGATCAGCTTCTTGTCGATGATTTTCATGGCGACCTGGGGCGACAAGCAGACCGAATGAGCTCATGAAAATGCTTGAATCGTACCCCCATTTCTTTGAACCCCGCCCTCATCGGGCCATTTCGCACCCATTCGTGTTAAATCCAGGTCAAAATGTCAACAGAATGTAAAATTTCCACAGGGAATCGGCCATATTCATCAATCTTGGCTATAAAGTTTAAGAAAATAAATCTCAGAATTATTGTTGTTTGCCGCACCAAAATCCCGTTTAACAGTAGCGTCGTAACTTTGCTCATTTGATTTCGTTGTACAAAGTAATAATAAAGTTTTTATTTCGGCAACAGTTGCTTGAGGCTAAAAACTTTCACTAAAGTAAAGCAATCCATAGCACGGTTGTGGTTTTTTTTTTAAATATATAACTTATGAGCTCAAAATCGCCTTTACCAAATACTGTTACATTAATTTGTTAAAGCAACAGAGCAAAGAAGACTTCAGTTTGACTTTGTCTTAATTCCTACCAAGAACTTACCTTCTCTCCCGTTAAGGTGTGGGTTCCGCTCCGCACTTTCCCAAACGACCCCTCGCCGATCGTCTCCCCGACCAGGTAGCCCCCTACTCGCTTACGCACGGCCATGGCTGGCGGCATGTTACGGGAGTCGGAGCGTCGCAGGACCGGGCGGGCCTCGGGGCCCGTGGCCGTGTCTTCTTCCCCGGGAGCCCGGACTACCGTCCCGTTCGCCATCGCTGAACTTCTCGCGGTCACACTTCGGAAGTTTGTGTATCTCCCTCCCCCCGCTGGTGTTATAACTACAGCCTCTAGCAACGCGATACTGATGTCTTCCAACTTAAACACAGGATCGATGGCAATGAATGGGCGGCATCGATTGCTGGGTCATCCCTGCATATAACAGGTCTTTAACTTTACACGCCGTGCCTTCTGATCACGAGTATTATTGTCTAATCGACCCCCTGGCCATATCAGAATTTAACTGTTCTTGATATACCAGGGCAGGCAACGTCGAGGGTGTATGGCCTTATCATACAACGCACATCGCCAAATTGATCGATTAAAATCGTATTAATGCACGGTTTACACAGTAAACCACATAGGTCTGTTAAGACTCATGCCGATGCTTAATGCATTAAATCCCAGGGTTCTCTTGGTTATTATGTCTCATTTGGCAACAAGAGAAAACCCTTTTGCGCAACAAAACGTATCACTCCTGGGAAACTGGATACAATCACGAATTTCCACACAACCATAGCAAGTCCTATTCTGTCTTATCGATAAATGGAATATCAATTCTTTGGATGCCACAAGATAATTCAGCTAGGTATGATTACTAACATACCACCGACTGTCAGTCATTAGTGTTGTATAATCTGTTCAACTTTAATCCCGTACACGATTGCCGATAAAGCACCTCCTTTGGTCTTATCAACCGCTCCAGACAGAAAATACTGCCTTGGTTAGAACTAGGAAGTCCATGGAAGGCAAAATTCCTCCATGTTGCGAAAGAGGTTGGACAGGGGTTACCGAATGAGCAGGAAACAGCAGTAAGGATCGGGGGAAAACCACAAAGAACATTTTGTGCATGAAAACAAGAAATGGACCTCTCGATTCTAAAGCTATTGTCAATCTGCAGTACCTTTCCAAACTGGCGAAATTCTGCTTCTTTTTATGCATGTAAATCAGCAGCTTTCAAATACAGAACAGTGTGTAGCAACAATCACAACCCCCAAAATACAAGGATGTTACCAAACATATCGCAGAAAGGGCGTTTAAGAGTCAGCAAACTGGATACCTTTTGAGAACTTTTCTTGCGAACTTTTTGAAGTCTTCTTTCCAACGAGTAAAGTTTCACTTAATCCAGGACTGAAACTTGGGACCAGAGAGTTTCGAGAGCAAAGGCCAGGCCAGGCCGGGCCAGGTCAAGTTAGGTAATTAAATATTTACATGAATTTCAATCTTGTGGATCCTTTTGTGCTGGTTTTGGGCGCACAGTGCTCTCTACCAAAGTTGAGTATCACTGTATTTAACGTCTTCACAAACATTGGGGATTCAAACAGATCTGAACAATGGAATGACAGTAACAGGCGACCCTGTGACCCACAACCCACAGCAATTGATTTTTTCCTTGCACAAAATCAATTTTACCCATTGATTTTTATTTTCCAAAGAAAACAGCGCTCCATCCGGCCATAATTAAATATATATAACCAGGTGTGAGTGGTTTTGTGATGATCAGGCCCTCTAGCCTAATTGGAGGTGGGGTATTTAATACCTAGGACCACTATAAGGCTTGGGTGGTTGACGAGGAATGTAAAGGTATTGATATGCAAATCAACTATGACGTCACTGTGTCTCGCTACGGATATTCTGCCAGTTTGATCCATGTTCAAAGCTAATGAGAATTTAAAACTCCAGTGCGACAGCACTGTTAGGTGGATTTTATTTTGTGGGAGACAAGCTACAGAGGCTATCTTCTTCCAAAAACGTTTGGAAATAAGAAAAAAATTGCCAGACAAAATTTTTGAACTATGGATCACAACATTTACGTAGGTTGAACTTGGTTTTGAATTTTTCTCTACCTGTTTTTCTCTTTGATTAAAACATTCAATTACACATACTTTGGTTAACAGTTCTTTTATGAATCGACCTTGAGTATAAAGAGCATTTCCCAGTAGGCAGCATACATTATTACTCAAACATGGGTTGTCACTAGTTGCTTGTGAAGGGCGCCCTCAAGTGGTTGTGTACATACAATAATACACGTGTACAAATTCTATCTACATGGATGCTCTTGCACATTTTCTGAGACCACAAAAACAGCATGACATGGACTTTGTGTTTATGAAAACTAGTGTTGTGACAGTTTTGACAAAGTGCACATCCTTCTTGTCAGCTGTCTTCGTCACTCATATCACACTCTTCCATCACGTTGGCTGCACTCTTGTCTCCTTTGACATATTTCTCTTGGGCAGTGGCTGTCGTAAACCAGGGTTAAGGGGAACATGAACTCCAAGGTGGCATTGTGCTCCTGTCCACCCAGGGGTATAAATGGGTGCCTGAGAGGGCAGAGAGGGTTAATGCATTTGATTAGCCGATGTGCCTGAAATGGAAACATTGAGTTGTATACTCCCCAGGGGACTGAGATGGTTTGGGGAATGTTTAGGGGTCTGAAAACAAGGATATCATGATGCACGATGCCTTGAACGTTATCCATCATCAATGTCTACACTAGTAATATTAGTCATGGACAAAAGGATATTTGAAGTACTCAAAGTCAGCTCCCACTGCGCAGGACATGAGAGCCTGCATATTGCGTTCTTCCAAGTCCCCGAAGACGTAGCCATTGGCTTTGTCGACCACCTTCAGGACCTCCAGCATGCTTTCACGGTCCTTAAAAAAAGCCAACATAACAAGTGAAACTTAAACCACCAGAAAAAATGCTGCCTAAATATCGCACTCTGGCTGATAGACAGATCACTCGTCTCGTTGGAGGTCCATGCCACCTTCGTATCTGCTGGACCCTAACCCTCTGAAACATTTAGGCCATTGCACAGATCATCAAAATGGAACAGGAAATCTTGCAAGTGATTCTTAATTGCTAGACTAAGAAGTGTTAGAAGCATTGGAATTGAGTCAGTCACTTGTCGATCAGAAGTCGGTCAACAAGTCAGTTTGTCAGAACGTCAGATCAAAAAGCAGGCTTGAGCTATTTGAGATGAACAACGATGAAAGACACCTTTGTCACAGCTCATTGAAATAGCTTGTGAGTTGACTTGGGACTGAATAACTCGTGACGGGCTCGTGATGACTTGCGGTGACTCATGACTGGATCAATTACAACTCTGGGAGTTAGGGCTCAGTGCGGTTTGGGTAGCTCACCTGTACGTCCAGTGTGACAAATGAGACCAGACTGTAGTCCTGGATCACACCAACAAGGGCCTCGTTCATCTTCTTGAATTTCCTCAGGAAAGGATCGCCTTCCAGGTACTGCAGGAGATATTGGAGATCCAGCACCTCCGTGTAGTAATCCAGATTGAAAGCTAGAGGGAGACACAGAGGCAGAAGAAAGGAGGAAATGAGATCAAAAGTTATCATCCATGGGTCGAACTCCTTGCAAAGAAAAAGTGTGTACTAGGGCTCTGCAGTCGAATCCATCACAATTCATCATTAAGTCCCTGCAAGTGTACCACACATTCTTAAGCCAAATCACAAGCTACACAAATGAAATGTGACACGAGCATTCCTTTGTCTTCCCGAATTTAAACGTACCCAGCTTTCCGTATTTTTCGACGAGGTCAATCTTGGAGAGGACGTTGACATGCGGAAGCTCCATTTGGAGCATTGTGGAGAGGGACGTCAGTAGCACTGAGATGAACTTGGCAGGCTCGCTGCAGTAGTGGGAGTCGACAAGATGAACGGCTACCAGCTGTGAAGCCAATCGAGATTAAGAACTTCAATAGATGCAGCTAGTGAATGCAGCCAGTGTTTAGTCCTGCTGGGCAGGATGGCACCAGTACCCATATCACAATTTTGCATAACACAAAACCAACAAATGTATAAGGAAAAATATGGTGAACGTGAAATAGAACATATTTGGCTGGATTGAGAAATGGATGAAATAGACTGTTGTTTGAGAGGAGATAGTCTGCTGAGGTTTGTAGTCTGTGAAACATCCCTTTCTGTCGTACTTGGCAGACTAGACCTATTCATCTTCCACAGTGTAAGCCTCAGGGTGGAATTGTTTAGAGATGGTTGATCATCAGTATCTCACACTGTATTTCCACTTCTGAAGAAGGGCCACGATGTTCCGCATTGAGTTGTGGTGCGTGTAAAGTTCCACCTGCCCGGGGCAATCAAAGAGGAGGTAGTGGTCCTTGGCCAAGGGCTCAAGCTGAGACTCAAGCCAGTCCACGTTCTTCTCCAGATATTCGATGCAGTAGACCAGGCCGCCGTTGGGACCCAGTTTCAGTTTGTCCATCACGTCTGAGGCGGTGATCAGGTCAGCGATGTCCACCGCTGCATCATACGGCAGGGAGTCGTTGGCCGGATCCAGATTGACCACGGCAACTTTTCGCCCGAGGTGTGTCAGGAACTCCTTCATGCCATTGCAGTAGGTGGTCTTCCCGGCACCCGGTGGACCAATGACTACCTGCGCAAACGCCATTGTGCTGTCAAACTCGGTAATGATGAACGAAGTTCGTTACTAATAGTCTCCAAATTTTATCAAGGGTTGCAGCTCAAGATTGGTTGCCATCATGGTGAAGTGTTGCCTGTTTGTGAAAGCAAAATCAAAATTAGCATCACTTTGGTTTGGTGACACGGTTTGGCTCATCGTCAATGCTCAAGAACTAAAATGATCATGTTTCAGTAGTGGAAAATTTGATATGAGAACTCTTTGTGGAAAGAGTTGCATAAACCAACAATGCTTGATAACCTTGTGCACAGGTCTATGAGACTTGTCTGAAAAAAACAGAAGAGTTTTCTAAGTACCTGTACAAACTTGGGAATTTTCTTTGCTGGATTTCACTTTCTAAGGACATGCTATTTTGGTGGCTGTTACAACATTTTAGGGGAAATTGGGTGTTGCCCGTATGTGGACCTCTTTCCGTGTTTTTCTCCAGGCCAGGGGTCTTTATTAAACTCACTGAAATGTATGCAGGAGAAGCTTCAGATGAGCTTACCGATTAACCAATATGTAAACACAAACAGCATAACCAGCAACACATGCTAAATGACATGATTACAGAATACCCCACCATGCCTGGATGATCAACCCCGTACTAGCCAGTCACACTGTTCTCATGGGGATTTTCACCCCATAGGGTCTACCCACATAACCATTGATTTTACGGTGTACTTTGGGGAAAGAGTCCCATATACATCATCCAATGCAGCTTGACACCCTGTGCAGTGCACAAACCCTATGATGAGACTGGTCTGAATAATTCTGTGTCTTCTAAGTAAATGACTTCGAGAAAATGTTGCATTCTGATTCCACTTTTCTCATCATATATCATCTCAATAAAATTCAGTCATAACAGAAATGCTGGAAAGACACGAATTCCGGACTGAGTTACCGGTGTTATTGGGAAATACTTAGAAATTCTCTTCACTCCCCATAGACTTTGTACATAACTGCTGAAGTGGAGTCAGGATGCAAAATTTTTTCCAGTAGGGAATAATTACTGGCGTCCATATATGAAAACTTTCCCTATTTTCGAGAGGCATTTACAATTTTTACATAGGCGCACTCCGATGAATGATTTCTTTAACAGTCCCCCTCCCAGTCATGTCGGCGCCGCGCCACGCCAGCATGTTCGATCAGTTTCGGCATCCTCGGAAGTTGTTCAATGATAGGGCCTAGGTCTTTTGGAGTATTGCACCAAGTTCAACCATTGAGGAAAAGGCATGTAATGGCAGAAAAATTTATCCCCTCCACCGTAATTTTACTATGCAAGTTTACATTACAACCTGGATAAAACTGCAAAACTGGGTAACCTCAGGGCGCCGCCATCTTTCACTTCATATGTTTGTTTCTTCTTTCGCAACTCCAATAAGAAAAGAGACTGAACCATTGTTTGTAGAGTGGAAGTGTTGCGCCAATAATTGTCTCAATAAAAGAGCTTTGTGTCAACTGAAACTGAAAATCCAAACATTTTTGAAAATAAATTAAATTATTTAAATACATTTTAGATTGATAAAATAGTTTTTGTGTTTTTTGCTTTTAACGACGAAATGATACTTCTCTCGAAATTGGACGAGACCCCTTTATTGTGGTGTGGTTAGGTCAAATACGCCGGATCGATCAAGGGCGCGCGCGGGTTGAGTATAAATTAGCAGACGACATTCGTCAGTGTTCGTGGCACCGTTCCGGCACATGACACAGGCTTTGGACTAGGCCTACTAGCTAACAAACAAGTAGGCCTAAAATATTGTTTTGTCATTGTACAATGTACTACGGTGACCACGCGTTAAGACACTTTTTTTGTCTTCCGATAAAACTCTGAACCAAGCGCAAGCCCTGTCGCAGCGGTACAATTTACAAATGCAGGTGACACCTGTCCTTTCCCGCATGTGTGCAACTGGACATGCTGGAAGTGATTAACTATTTATCTTTCAGTTTCACAATCATGACAATGGCTTTGAAAGTTCCAGAAGTGTCAGCATTTCTGCGGTCCAGACACGTACGAGTTGTTGACGAGTGGACAGTGGAATGCTTGGATTGGCTCCAACAGGAATATCAAGTAAGCGAAAAGCAATGGAGGAACATAAGAAACTTGAGCCCGAGGAAATTGTTTTGTACCATACCAGGCGAGCAAAAAAATCTTCACCGTTTTCACCTCTCTACTTGCTCTTGGCCTATCTGCCTTGGGCCATTCATCCCCTGGTCATTGGTAACTTACCCTTGACATTTCTCCTTTCTGTGTAGTAGACCTGCTGGCCATACAGAAACTATTGTTGGTAAGAGGTCCGTATACAAACATCACTCATTTTAACTTGCATGGGGTGTCAAGACTGTGTATGGAACTTTTTTGTCATTCTTTATGGAAAGAGTTCCATAGGCCTAGGCCCCATACAGACAACACTAATGTTAGATGTCACTAATTTTCCCTTAAAATTCCAAAGCATTTACTTAGCAAACACTTGTCATACAAGTCTCATATGGTTTGTGCATTGGGGGGGCATTGTCCATAGGCCTATATAGAACTCTTTCCATTTGCACTGACAGTTATGACATATGCATAACCATGACGACTAAAGCATATCTGATTGTGAGGGATATGGCTTGGAGGAAAGCTACATGAATTGCGTTTATGAAAATTTGTTTCATGATATTTTCAAGGGGCAAAATGTGAGGCCAGATGAGATGAAGCAGCACGTTTATGACCAGTGGCTGGATTCCGATCTTGGTGAAGTGGCCTCGCCAGCACTACCCCCTGGAATTGCACAGCAAAAGAAAACACAGTTGACGGGTAGTTACGCACTACAGGTGATGATCTCTAGGACTTTAACCGAGCTTTATAACCTCATTTACGTGTGTTCAAATTTTCACTAGATATAGAGGCTTTTCATGGTAGCCATCTTGAAGGGCACTTCTTTTGTTCTGCAAGGAAGCCTCCTTTGTGCATACCCTGTGGAGCAAAAGCACTGGCCTGCAAAGTGGCAGCCATGCAAACCCTCTACATATACAAATATTAATAGTTGTTTGCCCGAATTATTTGACATTAGATTAATAATGGAATCGGGTTGGAATGTGCCAATGTCCCTTCCAAGAATTAAAAACAAACCGCCACTGTTGGCAATTATGTTCAGATTAATCTGCATTAATAAATCAAAAGTTGTTTCAATTTTCAGATCAATTCGATACAGGATATTAGCCAACCTGCATACGGCCAACTTCTCAAACTTCAGGGTAGAGAGAATGAAAATGCTTTGGTATCAGCCACTCAGGCAACTCAACCAACCCAGAGTAAGGTAATTTCACTGAATGCTGACCAGATAAGCTGATTCGCATCTCTACTTCTTTGCTTAGCCAATGTTGCCTGAACTTAGCAAGTTTGAGTAGCTGTGTAGCTTTTAATGTGTAGAGGATTTTTATGAAGAATGAGCCTAGCATGTCACATTTATGTTGGGTGGGATCAGTCAGTCTGCAAGATTACTAAATCTTGTTGTATGATTTGCCAATAATTCTGTCATCAGCCAGTTGCCTTTCTGTCTGATTCACAGTTTTGAAAAAGGGAAGTTAAGTCAAAAATGTCATACAGAATTGATACATTCGATCTGAGAAATTGGTGTTGCCGTACGTGTTCAGTGTATATGGACTATTCCAGCGACCAGACTCTGCATGCATGCAGTGTGCTATGCATGCACAACATACTTTTTAAGGGTGTGTGTGAGTGTGGTTTTCTCCTTGGATCGGTCTATAATAAGTCGAGCAGGTTCCATACAATTACTCTGTCAGGTTTACCTTTTCAGTGATCCCAAGCTTTTCAGACTTTGTCTAGCTCAGTTGTAATTTTCACGTTGTGTGGTGTGATTTCAGTTTGAGCAGAAGTCAAGCCGCATGCTGATGCTTCAGCTGACGGATGGTCACCAGTCACTTGAGGGCATGGAGTTCCAGCCGATATCTCAGCTCAGTGTCGATACATTACCGGGGACAAAGGTAATGCAGCTACGGCTAAGGCTTGATCTGAATCTCCAATCAGTGGCTTGATCTAGTATCTAAATCCTTACAAAATGCAAGCACATATACGCTTGGAGCCCGTGGATGTACTGTCTGAACTCTTGAAACGTGCTGTGCTCTCGATTTTTGGGGGGAATTCCCACTTTGTTCGTGATTCTTGTTTATTTTGTTATTATTTATTTTAAATCTTCAGACAGAATGACAATAAAGGTTGTCCAGGGGCTATCTTGGAAATACTATTGTTAAAAAACCTGTCACCAAAGATGTGTATGACCAAACTCCTGACAATAGTAAATGAAATGAAAGGTCCCTGTGTTTTTTTGTTTTTTTATTTTCAACCATTCTTTAGATTTTAGTTCACGGGTCAGTGCAGTGCCGCATGGGTGTTCTCATGCTCACGGCTAACAACATCAGAGTCCTTGGTGGGGATGCCGAGTCCCTCGCCGAAGCCAACTCCCAGATTCAGATCTTGTCCAGAGCTCTGTAAGTACGGGAGTGTTTGTTAGTCCTAAACATTTAGGTCATTAAGATTTTGGGATAGCCACGCTCTTGAGTTGTGCATGCTTGTCCATTAGTTACCAACCGACAGCTTTTGAAAAAATGCTTGGTCACTTGGGTTTGGCAATCACAGATCAACGAGAGATTTAATTGGATTTCATTTTTTAAAGTCTCATTGTTTGATATAGTTACTTTGTAGTTTACATAGTCACTTATTCACCTTTGTTGAGCTTATATTAACTGAAAACTTATTCTCATGAGAATAGTCTCTGGATTATCTTTTCAAACAGCCTGTTATATTCTGTATTTCCGATGGAATGAATGAATACGAGAAGTTGCGTAATTGCTTCCTTGTTTTCAGCGGTCTTGATGAGAGTCAACAAACCCAACAGGCACCAGTTCCGACCGCATCCAGCCAGAGACCACCGGTCCCTCGGGTTACTGTCGACCTCACTGGCGATTCTGAGGGCAGAAATGCCAGCACCTCTTCTGGTCAAATGCAAAACGCTAACCAATTTGGCAAGTATTTCCATCAGCAACAGCACTGTTATCGTTTTTCTAATTGTTGAACAACCATTTAAAAGTCATGTGAGAGGGGATCCCAGAAACTCATCAGAGCTGTGTCCAACTTACTTTGCCGTGGCTGGAAAGAAGACGTGGCTGTGGATGCGACTGTTGCCATTTTTCATAGACTTGCGTGCTTTTGCCGGTCACAGCCAAGTGAATTGGGCAAAGCCTCATATTGTATCCAAAATTTCACCCAAGATTTGAGATATTTCCACAGTGCGGGCGATTCACAATACAGTCCGTCACCAAGGTTGCTATGGAAAAGCTAGTTTTTGAAGTGCATTGCGGGAAACAGTCCACAAATTCTATTTGCCAGATGCCTTTTGAGTTTAATTAATCCTTTATTTTCTTTTTTTTCTATCCAATGGAATGCCCTAGTTTTTCAAATCTCGGCAAGGTAGCCATGCTTTTGTCAACTGTACTGGGGAAATGTGGCCTCTCCACAGCAACTGTATTGTGAATCACTCCTATTGAGCTACTATTTTTAAATTGCAACAGTCAGACTGGTTGAAATATACATGAACCCTTAAAGAGCTACAGTATCTTCTTTGTTTTCTAGACCATGGGGTACATGTGTGATTAAGTTTCAATTCAATCTGATATTGGATTTTGTGGTGACTGACATTTATTGTTCACGCTCTCACATGTCAGACCTTGTACATTGAGCAGACCTGTCCCAGATTGAACCCCGTCCCTTTAGGGGTAAAACTGTGTCTTTTAACTGTTCGCACCTTGAAATTGGCCGTGAACTGTGCATCTGCTGGATTTTTATTTTCACCACTCAGTTTATTTCTGTTTATACAACGATCTATCCAGTAGGATCACATGGGAACGCAGCATCGTCTGGAGAGGAAGATGGCTTCTTCAGTGACGACCTTGGGGATGACCTGGATGCTCTGATGCTGAATGAAATTGAGAAGATTGAGGAGATGGACCAGATGCAACAGTTAGCGAGCAGTGTGAGTATAGTAATGAACTAGTGGCGTTTTTTTTTGGGGGGGGGACGTGTTTCCCATTTTAAGTTTTTTATTGGCATTTAAAGAACTGACTATTTAGAGACCTTACCACAACCTTTCGGGGGTTGCCATTTTTCTTTATGTAAAGAAATTAAAGAACCAACAATTTAGAAATGGTACCACAATCTTTTGGTGGGGGGTAGGTGGGGGGCGGGATTCTTTTATGGCTCTGCCTGTTGAAGTTAATGGGGTGGGTTTCTTCTCAAATAGGCCGGAGAGGAAACGGACTGGCCAGCCGACGATGATGAAATCGACGAGATGTGGTTGGAGCAAGTCGAGCAGACTCATGGCATCCAAGCGAGTGACCGGCCAGGAGGACAGCCAGCAAGAACTGACAACCAGGCCCAGCATGCATCTCTCATCAACCACCCGGCATCAAACGCAGGTGCTCCAAAACAAGCTGCTCAACAACACTCCTCTCTGTCGTCAAGTTGCCGTATCCGACAGGATCTGAAAGACGTGAACACCAAGACGGAGCCACAAAGCATGAAGAAGGTGAACAATAGCCAGCCAATGTCAAACAGAACAAGCCATGATGGCGTCCAAAGGTTTGATATGTGGACACGAAGCAGTGCGTCTGATAAGAAAGAATGCAGAAATGCTTTCCAGACAAATGCCCAAGACTCTATAAAAGACGCATGGAGTAACATCAAAACAGAACCTGGATCTAGTAAAAATGCAGTGCAAGACACAAACATTGACATTATTTCGAGAACCAGCAGCCATCATGCTGGCAAAGCCATTGCTTCAGGTTATTCGGATAGAGAAGCCAGCTTACATGTAGATTCCAAGAACACCCTTCAACACCTTGCTCCGAGTGTTTCAGGATTTCCTCAGAGAGCAAATACGACTGTGCTGGACACCAAACCACTTGTAGACGTCCAACAGAAGGCCCGGTTGTCTGGACGTTCTACTTTGCAGAGTGACTCGACAGTGCCTAGCACCATCTTCCAGAAATTGCCGACAGGGTGCACCAAGCCTGCCCAGGCAGCTGGCATAGCTGCACGCATCACTAAAGATCCCCTTCCAGCAAACTTAAACAACAATGCCAAGAACTTGTTGGGTCTTGCCACATCCTCATTTGCTGAAGCCCATAGAGCTGTAGGAGGCCCAGTGGATTCTGAGACAAACTCAGAGGATGGCTTCAGTGCTGCAAAACGGAGACGTTTTCATTCCAATGAAGGCAAGAAACTTGTGAAACTAAAATCACTTGTCTTTCTGTTCATAATGTCACAAAAGTTTTGATTTCCAAAAACAGAGCTTTGCTGTCAAAATTTTCTGTTACTTGTGAGTTTCAAATTTATTTTCAGGAGGTCAAGCTGTAAACGGCGTGGACAGTTTCCCTGTGGTCAAGCTCTCGTCTGTCATGAATAGAATCCAAGCTGAGGAAGTGTTTGAATTCGCCATCAAGGTATGTGGTCTCACCACAATTCATGAACAACTTCTGAATAAATCTTGTGGAATTCAGTGGGGAATAAATAATGGTAATGCTATCAGTTCGGAATAATACCGTTTTTTGCCGTCAGTCTGAAATCAGATATTGACCTTTTTGGGTATGGATCAATCTGGTTTGTTTTGTATGGTCCCACGATGAACACAGACGTCATATTCTCTTCCATCCACAGGGCTTCATCGTAACGTTGATTTCTCCCTTGAGCAAAAATGATGGCAGCTGGAGCATCTCGGCAAAGATCAGCGACAAGACGGCGTCGCTCGACGTCAGCCTTTCCAATGAGGCAAGTATTAAGATATAAACAAGAACAGTTTAAGGTTCGCAGAAGTGATGAGGGACTTTGACTTGAAATAGATTGAAAGAGCACACTTACATAAGGAGATCTATATAATCTGGCTACACAGAATGAGCCAAATCATCTTAGAACGTTGCGCACGAAATGTTTGGAACCTGCAGATTGTCATAATTGGTTGTACTAGGACCAATTCAGCGAATGACTTTTTTTTTTCCAATTTCATATCTCAATCTTTTTTCAGTAATCAGCCATGCATGTAGCCTTGTTTACCTCGGCATCACAGTGTCTACTGTCCGTAAGTTCATTTTTTGTATGACCTTTGGCATCTCTTGTCAATTTATTCCTCCCTGCTTCTTCTTCTCTGAACACACCACAGGTGCTGACTGGCTTAATAGGATTCTCCGTTCCCGAAATGATGGTAAGTGCAAGACTTACGTTTGGTGCATTACCTTAATTTTTCAAAGCCATGATCATAGAAATTTTGAATAGCCCACGAGGCTGGTCATGGTTCCTGCTAACTCTCGACTGTCAATTCAGTAAACTAGAACAAATCCTTCAAACAAAACAAGGAAGAGAAGATGCATTACTTGTTGTTCAACTCTCTCCTCCCCTGCTGTAAGTTAAAGTATTTTGTTCCCAAAACGTTAAAATAAATCCCAGTTTGAGAACAATTAATTTTATTTCAGAATGTTTAAATGCAAAGGAGTAAAAGAAATAATACATTCAATCATTGTCAATATTGGCCTTACAAGTTCTTCCTGTTTGGCTAATCAGTACAATTTAACTTTTTTTTCTATCACGCACCATTCCCTTGAACTTTTTTTTAGTTCCAATTTTCATTCCTTTACCCTGCAGCAAATAAAGAAAACCATTAAGACTTCCGATCCAACAACTGCCAAGGAATTGGAAACAAAGCTACGGCAGGTAAGGCAATTAGTCATGCGCTAGACTTTTTCCCAAACCTTTTCATGTACGTGTGTTACAAGCCGCAGCTACACTATTATTTCCATCTCACGGCTGAGTTTAAAACCGAAGCAGATTTGGAAACAATATTTGTAATGAGGTTATCATCTTAAAAACGCTTTGAATTTGTTTTCATTATAAATTGTCATTTGCTGTATCTAGAAACTGCTTTGTCTAATTTTCAAATGTTAAAAAATATTTGAATTCAAAGTTTTCGTTCGTTTCCATTTTAAATGTATTGGTGACTGTTCTTAATTCCTTGAGTTCAAAATCCATTTATTAAGTTTTAAGGGCATTTTTCTTTTATGAAGTTTGACTGTAGTTTACTTTTCTCCTTCTGTTGAAATTCTCCAGGGCCTAGCACAGTGCCAGAAGTCCCTGATCGACATCCACTGTGCCATGACCGTCCGAGTCGATGGGAATCAAGACCGCCCTCAGGTTATTGCTGTGGGCAGGACCGATCCGGCCGATCTGGCCACCAACTTCAGGAAGGTGCCCAGCAAGACATGATGATGTAGGGGTACCAACTTGTTGTGGGGTACCAACACGCAGCATCTTCAGAACACACCTCCATATCCACAGAAGTGAGTTGCATGCACATGAGCAATATAGGCGTAGTTCCACATTTCCGTTCAAATCGTGTTTATTGTTAATAGTATGTGGTATATGTTAAACTTAAGATGTCTTTCCATGCTTGCATCTTTCAGTTCGCTTAGTGGATGTTGCAAATTAAGCCTATCCCCAACGCTGAGCATAAATACCTGCTCACTGGCCCAAAAAAATGGAAAAAGGCTTGTTGGGCAAATGCTTCAAGTGGGCGCCAAGTGCCAGAGTGAAGACCATTATTTGCTATGCATGCTTGGTACTTACTATATCGTTGAACCTCTTTGTAACAAGGTCCTTGGGACGTTATGAATTGACTTGCTATAACAGGAACCTTGCATTGTCAGGGATGAACAGCAAAGAATAGAGGCTTTAAGTGGTAGCCATCTTGCAGGGCAGTTCTTTAATGTTTCATAGGGAAACCTCTCTGCATGCCTAGTGAAACAAATGAACTGTCCTTTAAAGATGGCTGCCATGCAAAGCCTCTATACAAAGACTTGGGTCCCAAAATTTTTCCTTGCGACGAGTAGAAGTTTGTATTCCTTTTTGGGGGGTTTGAAACACCTTGAATTGTGCATCCATTGTTGTCCACCTGTTTTCATTCTTCAACACAAATCTCCATGGGATTTGTGAACCACTTTCCAGTCGTGGACCCTCAACCAGCGGTGTACCCGATTTACCCCACTGTAACAACATGCATGATTGAGTATGTAGAAACGTGTGCACACACACTGCACCATCCCAGCACGATGTTGTTAATTTGTAAAAAAAGGCGCCATTTCTCCTTCCCCTCCCAGTGCCCACGTGCGTAGGGCACTCTCCTGAACAAACTTGATGTGACATGCATCGGCCACTGTCGTAGGCGAAGACCGCAGTGTCACGCACAGTATGGAACATGTAGGCAAGCCTTTGCGTGCTTTAATAAATGGCAAAATTGAAGAATAAAAGCAGTGAGCGATCAACCAGTGTTGGATCTGCACAATAACTTCAACCAGACACCACACAGGCGGTGACCTTCATCCATTTTTTCAAGGATTTACAGCTGTTAGCTTTCGTCGTGTATTTTATGACATGTGATGCATGATTGCCAACCAAACATGTGCCTACTACAGAGGTGGCCAGTCTCAGGGAAAACGTGGTAGCTTGGCACTCCCACATCATTCTGTCAAACTGTATTGCGGGTCTCAAAATTCAGTGGACACAAAATAGATTATAATTTGCACAAATAGAAAGATACTTTTGTGTACGCAGAAAGAAGACAGAAAGATGATGTTGTTAATTTTCTTTGTTTCCCCACATCTTGGGAGAGTTTTGTTTTTTGTTTTCCATTTTTATTGTAACTTTGTTCTTTCTTAAAACACTCACCACTTTCAGACAGAAAAGAATAGTCTTTTTCTGCCATTGAAACCAAGTCACCAACTTTATTTCCATACAACATGTCGTTAAGAATACAAGACAGATCATTCGGAATATAACACACACCATCTATGCAATTGTTATACAATAAAACATTATAAAATGGCTTTACTTCTTTTGTGTTGATTTATTGATTTAGGGGGTTATGTTTCATTTCATATTTTCATCCGCTGTGAAAAAGACACGTAGAGCTGTAAAGAGCACTAACATTTTATGTTCTCGACGATGTGTGCTATACCGTGAGGTGGAAGCCACATTGGCGTGACTTGTTTCACCTTGCATGGCAATGAGTGCTTACATTATCTGGTCAGTACTTGTACCACAAACCAGAAGGGAAAAAACTGAGATTAATGTTGACCTTGTTCGGAATCTTAACTGTTAAAATAAAATAGCAGCTGACGCACATCATAATTCAACAGCATGACATGCATTGAGACCAGTGGTGGAATAAACAAGACGATCCATAGTCCATGTATTTCACAGGTCAATTCTTATTTACACCACGCACAAATCACCAGCAAAACATAAAAGACGTTTTATAAGTACATGTACTATGCTCGATTAATTTGTACACCAAATCTTCTGCACATCAAGTCCAGTAATCGTAGATTTCCAAACAATCATCTAAGAATGTTTACACTCACTGCACTGCAATCTTTCAAGCACATCATCAAAGCTCACAAATTGTTTACGGCTAGATTTCAGTTAGTCAAAACATGCAATAAAAAAAGCCAATTACAGTACCTGGAACAAACAATTTCTTCATCATAGGAGGGTTTTTGTTGTCTCGGAAAGGTGTCATTTCTTAGCCCAGAAAAAAAGGAGTACCGTAAATTATCCAAGTGGGCAGGTAGGAAACAAGCATAAAGTTGGGAGTTTTTTAATCATCTGCGTTGGCCTTGAAAACTTACTTTATGAATGTTATGATGCGGTTAAAGTCTATTTAATGTTATTCAGTATTTGGTGTTAATTCAATTAACATGAACGACTGTTGCACAGAATTTTTTTTGTTCACAATGCCATTGTTGTGACAGCCAAATTTGTTAACCTTGACAGTGCCGAATCCTCTAATTTGATATGGTTTTGCAAACAACCCAGGGAGTTAAGGTTGAAAACCTGAGCTTGAACATTCGATTCAGAATTACATTTAGACACATCTAGTTTGAGTAAACACATTTTGTCTTGTTTTTGCATACTTGCATTAACACTTACATTACGTGCTATTAACACCATAAACAGCCACCAGTTCTAGATCATATAACCATTGCTTTTTTGGGCGTTACACATTCATTTGATATACTTATGGCCCATTCTAAAACAACTGTGACAAAACATAGATTCATCCTATATTTAATTAAACACAAAAAGTCTGTATAGCCTTTTAATATGTACATGTATGTTCTTAAAGTTTTTTTCTTGAACAATGCTACTCTTCTTTACTGTGTTGTATTCGGTGCTTTCATAAGTTCCTTTAAAAGTCCAGCCATAGGTCGCTTTACAAGGCCAGTCATAAGTGACAGGGTGAACAACGACGGACGAATGCTTTTGTCACTGCTCATTTGAATAGCCCGTGAGTTGTCTTAAGATTGAATGACTTGTGATGGACTCGAATACAACACTGCTTCTTTTAAACAAACACCAAATTGAAAAGTCTACCCCAAGAACAAACGAAAGCCTGTAGAAAACACGCTCTTACCACCAGTTGCTTCAAAACTTATTTCTCCAGAAAGATTGATTTGTCATTTGGTGTTCTCGTGTTTCACTCCGTAAATCTTTGAATCGCACTTGTCTTACAGTTTTTCCCCAATTCTGCCTGACCCGAAAGAAACGGAAAATCTCAATGATGTTAAGTATATATAGTTAATATACGTATCTGAACATTTTGATCCTTGCACTACAATGCCTACGCTGCTGCAACTTATGCAAAAATCTACTTCAGATCAATAGTAACTTGATTAGCAGAATTTAAAGACTTCTTACGTACACACTTTATCAGCATTAATTTTATTGCAACAGTACATTTATCTCACAGAAGAAAAATTCACTTTACAATGTACACGTAATTTTGATTACAATCTTACACCTGGTGAAGTTTTCTATGCTAACATGAAATACTTGGTGCATTGAGACTCCGCAAATCGACACAATTTGTGCATTTCAAGTATCAAAGTTTGCCTCTTTCAAATAATCAACTATCCATTTTTATTTTATAACTGGCGAGTGTTCTTTGAAATACTTTGCACGTGCTCTGAACAGCAAACAATCTTTCTACAAGAACAAAAGTTTATAAAAGAATTAGTTCCTATATCGCCATCGATATGTACTCCGTCTTGTGTTGTGGCTTACGTTAACGAATCAAGTACGAGGCAACAACAAAATTGTTTATCTAGTTAGAGGAATAAGTCTGCTGCAGTGCATTGCGTGTATGAACACCTTCCCTTTTCAATTTGCTTGAACTAAAAATGTGTGGTAACGGGGAAAGAAATGTTCGTGCCTACCCAACAGCTTTCTCCCACACTGAAATGGGTGCACAGGCCTTGTTCAAAGAAGGCACTGAGGCTTACCTCGTTGTGTGTTGCGTTGTTGAGTTGGCAGGTCTTGGCCGGACCTCCCTGCCAGAGATTGAAGGAGCGGCATCGGGGCTCGGCCCTGCAGGCCTGGCCGCACTCGCTGACTGCCTTGACCGTCAGGTTCTTGATATCATAACCAAGTAGACACCACTGTTCCACGCGACCGTCTGGTCCGAGCAATGTGCAGTAAGTCGGTGCGAGGCAAGGCATTTCGCAAATAGCAAATTTATTGACAGTGCAGCTTCCATGGCTAAGATAACCAACTTTCCCTCCACCGTTGTGAACGCAGAAATGTCCAGACTTGTTAGGAAATCCTCTGTACCAGTTAGTGTACACGCTGTTTTCACTTTGTCCTCCAACGCACCGTAGATTATTGTTGACGATGTCACATCCAACCCAAAGTGGTCTATGTTTGAACTCCCTGAACACTTGGTCGCGGAGCTTCATAATGAACTTGTGTTCCTCTCTTGAGTTAGGCAGTTGAAGACTTCCGCCCAGACGTTGACAAGCCGTCAAAGCATCAAACCAAGTAGGCTTCTCCTTCAGCGCTATGTAGCATGAGTCACGCCAGTCGTACCACCCGGAGGGCACGCTGTAGGAATGGCATCGTGAGCGCCTACCGTCATCCAGATTAGAATTGTCAGGCTCAGTTGAGTCCAAATGCCCATTGTGGATAGCATTTTAGATCATTGATTTGACCAAAGTGTTTCTCAAAAAACCTGTACTTTTTCCCAATCAAAATGAAGAGTATTTTCTTGGTGATATTATGGGTATCAATGAAAATGTTTTCGTGATCTGAACCCGAGCGCTCGCTGCGTTAGTCTGACGCGAGAATTCCATTCCTTGATGTTAACTGATGATATGTTCATGTTGCAACGAAGAAGCCGCAGGACTGTTACTGTCACAAGCAAGATTAATGGAGCCGCTTTCCCCCGGTGGAACCGAAGAAGAAATTAAAAATTTACGCCTTAAAAGGTTTGTGGCTATATTCAATGCAGTGTGAAAATACTGCAGATAACTTCACGTAGTGCCACTGCTCCATCCAATCCATATTAAACACAGCCATTAAGTATGTCGTTCCTTTCAACATGAGAGTACGGCTGGTCGGCGGTGTATATACATGAAACATTACATGTATAGACTTTTTCCTGTGATGTCACGATCGTGCTGGACCAATGACGTGGTGTGATGGTTGTGATGGTAATCTACCTGCACAAGATCAACCAGTCCAGCATGCAGCGTTCGCACGTACGCTTGCTGTAGCACGTGGTTAAGCTGCCCGTAGGGAATATAATGCGATCACTGTGGCCAAGGCGGTCTACACGTGATCGTTTACGTTTATCGCAATCCAGTCACGTGGGTGGAAAAAGTCAATAGGGAAATTTTGATAAATTCAAATCAAATCTTGCAAAATTACCTATCCATCAAAAAAACTTTACTTCTACACGAGAGTTGCGGGAAAATGAATGATTTCTAATAGATATGTTCTAAAATTGGGGAACATTCCATTTGACATATATGTATTCCAGTCGGGGAGGGGGCAAGGTTTGAGCACACAAAGACTTTTGTCTGCCATTTTTAATATCCATTTATAGTTCGAAGAGAATACATTCCCTTGTGAAGTCATCGGAGCTTAAATCGTTTTTCGTGGCATTGTTCAGTTGGCAGGTTTTGGCCGGACCTCCCTGCCAGAGATTGAAGGAGCGGCATTGTGGCTCGGCCCAGCAGGCCTGACCACACTCGCTGACTGCCTTGACCGTTACGTTCTTTATCTCATATCCGTGCAGACACCACCTCGTCATGCGACCGTCCGGTCCGAGCGATGTACAGTAAGTCGAGGCAAGGCGAGGCATTTCGCATATGGCAAATTTATTGGTGGTGCAGCTTTCAGAATTCAGATAACCACCTTTCCATCCACCCTTGAAGACGCAGAAATGTCCAGACTTGTTAGGAAATCGCCTGTTCCAGTTGGTGTACACGCTGTTTTCACTTTGTCCTCCAACGCACCGTAGATTATTGCTGACGATGTCACATCCAATCCAAAGTGGTCTATTTCTGAACTCACTGAACACTTGTTTTCGTATCTTCATAATGAATTTGTGTTCCTCTCTTGAGTTAGGCAGTAGAAGACTTCCGCCCAGACGTTGACAAGCCGTCAAAGCATCGAACCAAGTAAGCTTCTCCTTCAGCGCTATGTAGCATGAGTCACGCCAGTCGTACCAACCTGGAGAGCAAGCTGTAGGAATGGCATCATGAGCGCCTACCGTCATCCGGATTAGAATTGTCAGGCTCAGTTGAGTCCAAATGCCCATTGTGGATAGCATTTTAAAATCAGTGAACTGAGACAAGTGTTTTTCAAGAAAGAAGACGATTTTTCTGGTCAAACCGACAAGGCTTTCTTGGTGATATTTTCCAATTGGTTTCCACAATCAGTGTTAGTCGAAAATTTTCTTGTGATCTAACACCGAACAATAATTGCTACGTTTGACTGACGAGAGAATTCCATTCCTTGGTCTTAAATAATACATGTTAATATTGCAACGAAGAAGTGGCCAGGCTACCATATTGTCACAAGAAAGACTTAATAATGAGGTCACCTTGCCGGGTCGATTTTAACAGGAAATTAAAAATTCCCCTTCGAATGATTGCTATAATTTGGAACGGTACTGCAGACAACCGCAGGCGGTGCCAAAGCTCTATCCATTTCCTAACACCAGCAACGAAGTATGTTGTTCCTTCTAAAAGTAACAGAAAGGCTGGTGGGCGTTGTATATCCGTGCCTTGATCACAGGAAATGACAGTCATTGAAATCAAGTCTAGGAAATTACATGGATTCTGTTAGGAAAGATTCTTTATCTTTAACTAACCCTTGGGGTTCTACATGAGCGAGAAAAAATTGTCGGAAGAGATAGGTTTCAAAATGATGTTCTGTAATTGAGGCAAAATTCTCTTTGACATTTTCCAATAATTTTTGTGGGCAAATGTCGAGTGTACAAAACTTTTTATCCGTAATTTTAAGATATCCATCTATAGTTCGAAGAAGATACATTCTCTTGTGAAGTCACGGGAGCTTAAATCATTTTTCGTGGCATTGTTGAGTTGGCAGGTCTTGGCCGGACCTACCTTCCAGATATTAAAGGAGCGGCATCGTGGCTCGGCCCTGCAGGCCTGACCACACTCGCTGACCCCCTTCACCGTCAGGTTCTTGATCTCATAACCGAGTAGACACCGCCGTGCCACGCGGCCGTCTGGTCCGAGCGATGCACAGTAAGTGAGGACACGGCGAAACATTTCGCACATTACATAATTGTGCCGGTCGCACTCTACCGAGAAAAGGTAGCCGAGCCGCCCTCCCCCTTTGTGAACGCAGGATCTGCCGCTCTTGTCAGTAGCTGGTATATACCTGTTAGTGTACAAGTTGTTTGAACTTTGTCTTCCCGCACATTGTAGATTATTGTCAATGATTTCACAGCCGATCCAAAGTGGTCTTTCACTGAACTCACTGTAAACTTGGTCTCGTAGCTTCATAATGAACTCCTGTTCCTCTCGTGAGTTGGGCACAATGAGACTACCGCCTGGACGCTGACAAACCATCGTAGCGTCGAACCAAGTAAGCTTCTCCTTAAGCGCAATGTAGCAGGAGTCACGCCAGTTGAACCAACCGAGCGGACAGTCAGCTGCAGTGACCAAGACAACACTCACCCCCGTAAGTATGACTAGCAGAACTGCCAGGAGCTGTCTCATCTTTCGAGCGACGTGGTATCGTCGTTTACGAAATGTTCCAAATTGGATTGAAACGATTTGGTAAACAGTGATAAGGAGCAACAGCGTCTCTCACGGTAATGTCTCGTTTGGTAATAGGCAATTACATGTATATCTAAAATGTTTTCAGTTATGACAAAGGATCACATTGCAGGAACTGGATTTGCAAACGCAGTGAGCCCAGACCTATTTCTTCTTTCACTGTCACTCGCTCGACTAAAGCAGCAACGTCCGCAGATAACGAATCTTCTACTCGCCGCCTCTGGATGACTAGCGTGAAATTAGGCGTGTACATGGCACAAGCGGTCATCAATAATTTACCTCTGTGCGCGTAAAACAATTCTCGTGACGATGAAGCAACACCGAAACGCACCAAAAAGGCACATGTAAACGCGTTCGATATTGACAATAGACTCCTTCTGCCCAGCAAAACCCTACCGGAAATTAAAAAAATGTTCTCATTCGATTTTTTTTCTCACCTAGATGACTTGGTGCCAAATGATTTTCTTGTGTTCTTCACGCGCTATCGCTTCGATCCAAACGGTGTACATGTATTTCTACCTCTGCGCAGGGACGTTGGTTGCCTCGTCCCCAACTTCCTGATGATGGAGAGTAATTCGATTGCCTTTGATTAAAGACGAGGTAAAATGGTTATGCTTGCGAGAGTCGTTTGTACGAGATAAGGCGGGTTCATACTTAGCACTGAAACGAAGTGGTGGCGAATTTGACCGCACAAAACATGCGCTTCAACATTCGCGCGAGTTGAAATGTGTGAGGTTTTGTGAATTGACAGCGCGATTTTTGATATGTCTCAATTTCGTGTATGTGTTCGCTTTGCGCCAGTGAATTTACAAAGGCCGGCCTTTATAAAATCACACGCACGAATAACGTGCCTTTATCTCATGCGAACAACACAAACTACTTATGAATTTGTAGCGCAAAATTAAGACGCGAAGTTTTTCAGCATGTGTCTGATACAGCTTCGTACTTTAAAATCACACCACGAGGCATTTAATAATATGTGTTACTGAGTGCTCGAGAAAATCTACTGCAGTTGAGATCAGCTCCTGTTTCATTGAACAAAAAACGAGGCAAAGTAAGGCGTGGTTGTGTTTGTGTGTTGATTGTTTGCAGGAAGAGGCATCCATACATGTCTAGTTTTTGTGAGAGGATATACCTTCATGGAAATCAACCTCTGGATTTCTGAAGGTGACAACTACAGTGAGGGAGAAGTCTAAGGATGTTGGGATTAAATTCTAAAATTTAGACCGAACATCTGTTCCTCTCATCCAAAAATCCAATTTGTCATGATTTATAGCACTTTTTCTTTTCTTGCGGATAAAGTCACTGCTGAAGAATAATTTTCTTTCAGCGAGGGGCCCAGTCGACATTTACAGTTCGAAGAAGAAACATTCCCCATAGTGAAGTCATTCGAGCTTACCTCGTTGTGCGTTGTCTTGTTGAGTTGCAGGTTTTAGCCAGACCTCCCTGCCAGAGATTGAAGGAGCGGCATCGGGGCTCGGCCCTGTAGGCCTGGCCACACTCGCGGACTCCCTTCACTGTCTGGTTCCTGATCTCATAACCGAGTAGACACCACTGTGCCACGCGACCGTCTGGTCCGAGCGATGCTTTTTTAAATCAATTTTTATTTAGTCCGATCTCCACCGGTCAATGTTGATGGCAATGAAGCTCAATGCAGAAACTTTAAGGGCGACCGGAATGAGCTGAGATCATACTTTTCGCTCCCGCGATCGATTAATGCACCAAAAATTACGTGACAACGACCATGGACGGTTAAATCTTGTTTGCCGTCACTGGATGTAAAGTGGGAGATATCTTTAGGCCTACCTGGCAGTTAATTTGTGGCTGATGGAATTTCAAATGAATTAGCGTGTTGTGCTGATCATAATTATGGCAGTGACTGAAGTTACTTTGTCTCCACCTACCGATGCGCATAAAAACCCCCAGGGACTGTTCCTTTTAATGGTTGCCGATATACCACTGATCTTCTACCTGCAAGATAATAGCCACTGCCATTAACAATTTGTTTGTGAAGAAAGTACGCCAGCCGTTTTTATTAAGAGCGCGCGCATATAGGTTTGAGTCTGAATTCTACAGTGGTAAACAACCATTAGCTATAGAGCTTCCGGTTTTAATCAGCATCTCAACCAGAAAGAAACAAAATGTAATTTTAGGGTCCTGGGCACATAGCCAAGGGCGCGTGCACGATGCAGTCAATATTAGAAACTGAGATTGTTGTTGTACCGTGTGTATTTCCACAGTTAGATATGTCTTAATAAAAAATATCAAGTTTCCCCCTTTTGGTAAATGAAACAGCAATAGGCTAATTGTAAAGTTTCTCAAACATTTAGACCAATGCTATAGGATTGACCAAGCAATATGACACGACTGAGCAAAATGAGCGTGTTACTCTAGTTTTATTTCATGCAAGCACTTCTGAAATTAGAAATCATTCTTTTCCAAATCATGCACCACAACGCCTCTGCTATCATGAATCAGTTCACAGCTGGAATCTGTCATCAGTCTTAAGACTGCAAATAACTAACACAACTAACTGAACACTCTTCTGAAGCAGCCTTTTTAGCAATAATAAGTTTACATTTTATCAAATAGAAGCAAGAAAAATTACAGTTTGTTACGTGATTGAAATAAAAATTGCTCAAGTGGGAGTACGTGATGGTGCGTCAAAACTAGACGAAATTGTGCGAAGCTAAGAAGCAAAAATGAAGTGAGTATGATTTTCATTGACTACGTTTTTTTCTTATGTTTCTCGTGTTTTTCGTGCTGAAATCTTGATCACTTTTATTTTGAAGGCCTGATATTAAAAAAGTTAAGTATCAAACTGATCAGGCACCTTGGTTGAAAAACTGGCCAAATTCAAGAGCAGCGTTTTTAACATCTATAGGTCTGTATTTAACTGTAAAATTATTGTTCTAACTTAAAATTCCGTTCTCGCCCAAGTGTGCCTGACGATTTTGACAAACCTTTTTTTATCTAGTTAGGTACTTGAAGTCTAACGCCTTAATCACCATAAATAAAACATTAAGTAGACATGTTTTACTTTGAAGCTCTGCAAAACGAAATGATCAATTTTATATTGCTAGGATTACCTCGTTAAATGATTTTCCATTTTCAATACATAAAGTGGACGTCTTTGCACTTTGTTCAAAAATGGAATTCGTAACCTATTTAGAGGGCTGTTGAAATCAAAGTTTCAATAGTAATCCTATCGCCATCTGTTTTCCACTAAAGTTCTATTTGCGACTTTTGCGATTGAAGAATTAATTACAAAAAAGCTTCAATGCTAGTTGAAATTATGATCGGCACCGAAATATCCTGGGGTGTGGAGCACATTTGCAACAGTGTGTGTGGACTAAAATGCGTTCATGTTACCTAACAACTTTCTTCCAGATCGAAGTAAGTGCACAGTCCTTGCTCACAGAAGGCATCGGAGCTTACCTCGTTGCGCGTTGCCCTGTTGAGTTGGCAGGTCTTGGCCAGACCTCCCTGCCAGAGATTGAAGGAGCGGCATTGTGGCTCGGCCCAGCAGGCCTGACCACACTCGCTGACTGCCTTGACCGTTACGTTCTTTATCTCATATCCGTGCAGACACCACCTCGCCATGCGGCCGTCCGGTCTGAGCGATGTGCAGTAAGTCGAGGCAAGGCGAGGCATTTCGCATATGGCAAATTTATTGATGGTGCAGCTTTCAGACTTCTGATAACCATCTCCCCATCCACCCTTGGAAACGCAGAAATGTCCAGACTTTTTGGGATGTCCGCTGTACCAGTTAGTGTACACGTTGTTTTCACTTTGTTCTCCAACGCACCGTAGATTATTGTTGACGATGTCACATCCAATCCAAAGTGGTCTATTTCTGAACTCACTGAACGCTTGGTTTCGTATCTTCATAATGAACTTGTGTTCCTCTCTTGAGTTAGGCAGCAGAAGACTTCCGCCCAGACGTTGACAAGCTGTCAAAGCATCGAACCAAGTAAGCTTCTCCTTCAGCGCAATGTAGCATGAGTCACGCCAGTTGTACCAACCTGGAGAGCAAGCTGTAGGATTGGCATCGTGAACGCCTACCGTCATCCAGATTAAAATTGTCAGGCTCAGTTGAGTCCAAATGCCCATTGTAGATAGCATTTTAGATCATTGATTTGACCAAAGTGTTTCTCAAAAAACCTGTCCCTTTT